ATGTACAGAAAAGTGGATAGATCATCAATGTCCAGGTTAATACATTATTATACAGTACACACCAACATCTCACAATAGTTGTGGTATTTGCTGAGGTTTTTGATAGATTATCAGATAAAGAAATTTCTACTCTTATTTTGCTAAGAGTTTTTTAAAAAATCATGACTGGGTGTTGAATTCTATCAAATAGTTTTGTCTGCATCTCTTGAGATGATTATATGATTTTTCTGCTTTCCTCTGTTAATGTGGCATACTCATATTAAACTTATTGATTTTCTAATGTTAAGCAATTTTGCATTCTTGGCATAAGCCTAACTTGGTGATAATGCATCATCCTTTTTACGTATCCCTGGATTCAGCTTGCTGATTCTTTGTTTCAGACTTTTGCATTTATGTTCATGAGTGATATTTGCCTATAATATTTCTTTCTCCCACTGCCATTGTTAGGTTTTGACATTAAGATAATGCTAATCTCATTAAATGGACTTGGGATTGCATCCTCTTTTCCTATGTTATGAATTTTTTTCCTTTATTGTGAAGTTGTACATTATTGTTTGTCGGTCACCATATAAATGCATCCCTTCACCCCTTGTGCCCACCCCCACCCCCCTTGCCCCTTGGTAACCACCAAACAGTTCTCTCTGTCTGTGTGTTAGTTTATCTTCCACTTATGAGTGAAATCATGTGGTGTTTGTCTTTCTCTTTCTGGCATGTGCTATAAAATTTTTTGTGTAAGATAAACATTATTTCTTCCTTAAATGTTTGGTATATCTCTCCATTGCAGCTATATAGGCGTGGAGTTTTCCTTTGGGGAGGTTTTTAATAACGGATTTAATTAATTTTAATAGTTGTAGGATTATTCAGGTTTTCTATTTCTTTTTGTGCTGATTTTAGCATTAGTATTATTTTTGCTAGGAATCTGCTTATTCCATCTAAAATTTCAAAGTTTTGGCATAAACTTGTTTAGTCATCCTTTCATTATACCATTCCCTTATTATCTTGTCGTCTTATTATCTTTTTAGTGTGTGCAGGATAAGTAGTGGTGCCCCTGTTCATTTCTGGTATTGATTATTCAGACCTCCTCTCTTTCTATCATGAATCTGTTCCTCAGGTTATCTGTTTATTTATTTATTTTTAACCACCTCTTGGCTTTGTTGGTCTTCTCTATTATCTTTGTCTTCTAATTCATTAATTTTTATTCTTATCGTCATTATTTCCTTCCTTCTACTTTCTTCTTTTCCTCCTACTCCTCTTTCTGTTCTTTGTCCAACTTTTGAAATAAATGTTTAGCTTATTAAATTTAAGCCCTTTTTTGTTATCTAATATATGCATTTAATTACAAAGTGTCCTTAAGCATAACTCTAGATGCATTCCACAAGATTCTTTTAAATTAAGGTATAATTTACATATAGTGAAATGTATAGATCTTAACTGTACAATTCTGCAAGTTTTGACAAATGCATATAACTTGTAAGTTCTATCAAGAGACAGAACATTTCCATCACCCAGAAAGTTCCTTGGTACCCTTCCCAATCTTTCCTCCACCCATGAACCAGTGTTGTAATTTCTATCATCAAAGATTAATTTGCCTGTTGTAGAACTTCACATAAATGGGACCATAAAATATGTTCTCTTTTGCATCTGTCTTTCACTCAGCATGTTTTTGAGATTCATCCGAGTTGTTTTGTGTATCACCAGTTCATTCCTTATTATTCTATAGTATGCCATTGATGTGAATATGCCACTCTTTGTTTATCCATTCTCCTGTTGATGGTCATTTGAGTTATTTCTAACTTGTGGTTATTATGAATAAAGCTGCTATGAAAATTATTTTTGTGGACATTTGTTTTTACTCTTCTTAGATAAATATCTAGAATTGGAATTGTTAGGTCACAGGGTAGGCACATGTTTCATTTTATAAGAAACTGAAAAATACTTCTGCAGTGTTCCAAAATGGTTGTATCATTTTACACTCCTACTTTATGTGTCATCGGCCGTTTGGATATCTTCTTTTGTGAAGTGTCTGTTCAAGTCTTTTTGCATTTTAAAAGATTGGGCTGCTTTATTTTTATTGTTGAGTTGTAGGAGTTCTTTATATATTCTGGACATGAATCTTTTTATGGATATTTATATATTGTGTATGAAAACTTTAGACTGTATCAGAATCTCTGGCAAAGCCGAAGTTCATAGTGGTGACAGCTGGAGACAATTTTACCACAAACAGACAGACCTACACCACCAGATAGATGTCTGCTAGGAACAGAAGTTGGGTTACACACTCGAATTGCTTTCTGTGACATCCATGGGGAACTGAGACAACTACACACTGTGCCTAGGGGAAAGATGAGTTTTTAAGGTTTCTTTTGTTAACTATGAAAGAATTTCTGCATCACAAAGGAAAGACAACATTAAGCTAAATATTCAAAAAAAGAATCCACTTGAAAATTATTCACAGGAAATAAAAACACACCTGAAAATGGTTTACAGAAAAAAAAATTTAAAATGAGGGAACAAGAAGTCCCTTTAAAAACCTGATCTGATTATAGACAACATAAAAAAAAATAAAGACTCATTACATTTTAACATAAATAAACACACTACATATCCAAACTTTTGTGACATGGCCAAAGCTGTATTCAAAGGCAAATTCTTAGGGAAAAGTCTGCAGTTCTCCAAAAAGTAAAACATAGAGTTACCACGTGACCCAGTAATTCTGCTCCTAGGTATATACCTGAGAGAACTGAAAACATCTCTATGCAAAAATGTGGTTATGAATGTTCATAGCAGCATTATTCGCAATAGCCAAAAAGTGGAAATAACCCAAATGTTATCAACTGATGAATGGGTAAACAAAATGTGGTTTATCCATACCATGGACTATTATTCAGCCATAAAAGGAATGAAATACTGATACGTGCCACAACGTGGATGAGCCTTAAAAACGTTAAGCTGAGTGAAAGAAGCCAGACACAAAAGTTTGTACATTGTATGATTCCATTTATATGAAATCTCCAGAAGAGGCAAATCCATAGAGACAGAAAGTAGATTGTCTCTGTGGTTGCCAAAGGCTTCAGGGAAAAGGGAAGAGGAGAGTCACTGCCAATGGTACAGGGTTTCTATCTGAGGTGATGAAAATGTTCTGGAATTAGATAGAGTTGATGCTTGCATAACTTTGTGAATATCCTACAAACCACCAAAGTATACACTTTAAAAGAGTAAAATTTGTTGATATGTGAATTATATCTCAATTTTAAAAGTGGACAAAAGTAAATTCTTAGTCTTAAACGTGCTTTAATTAATTTTAGAAAGGATGAAAATTATCACACTCTTTAACTTAGCAAATTGGAAAAAGATAAGAAGTTGTAATCGCAAGGAGATAAGAGGAATAAAATTGTACATATGAGAAATTAATAATTTAGAAAATAAAAACAGTAACATTTATCAACTAAATCTCAGAACTGGTTTAATTTAGGAGAAAAGGAGGAGGAGGAACAATGAAGGAGGAAATCTTGTGCACATGTAATCAATAAAAATAAAACAGAACATGTAATCAAAATGTGTAATTATAATACATACAAAAAATTTAATTTTAAAAGGATACATTATAATTGTGGAACTTTATGTTAATACATACTCCATAAAATAGATAATGTTCTGGGAAAAACAAAACAAAACAATAGAATTGATTCAAGACCAATCAAAAAATTTGAACAGGTCAATATTCATGGGAAAAAAATTAAATCAGGTCAATATTCATGGGAAAAAAAATTAAGTAATCAAAGAATTTTGACCCCATTAAGCAATATGCCAGATAATTTTTTAAGATTGTAAAGAAACAAAAATTCCTTTGCTATATTTATGTTCTGATCTCAGAGCACAAAAAAGATAGAAATCTGCCAGATTAATTTTGTGAAACTAGCATATCTCTAATATCAAACCTTGACGAAGACAGCACGAAGAAAATGACAGAAAAGAGCCTTACGTCTGAGCATAGATCTGGAGTTGAGCCCCGAGAGCCAGCTTCAGCAGCAGATGGGGTTTGGGTAGCCCATACTGTATTGCTGTTGTTGTGTCTAATTAAGCCAGTGTTTTAAAATTGAGAGGTTTCACAAAAAATCCAGATTTCTGCTACTCCAGAAAAATGAAAAGATCTGAAACCATATGGCCCGCTTCTCGCATGAGGACAATGGCTGCAGTGGAATGGGGCTGTGCCTGGGTCATTTGCTCTGCAGATTGCCGGGGTCCTCCCTGCTTCCCAGTGTCTGTCACTGAGGCCTAGTGTGAGCTGCCACTTTTTATCATGCTTAAAGTGTTGTTTTTCCTACAGTAAAGAGACATTTCCCTGTAATCTGACTCTTTCAAAGGTGAGAAAATGAAAGAAAGAACAAGAACATATATTATAATAAAATGCTACTTCACTCTATAATACTTGCCTTACTGCAAAGCTATTGTATTCAAGATAGTAAGGACTGGCATAAGGATAGACAAATAGATCAATGGAACAGAGTGGAAAATCCATAAATAACTCACTTATTTGCTTTTTTAAAATTAATTAATTAATTTATTTTTGTGAGGAAGATCAGCCCTGAGCTAACATCCGATGCCAATCCTCCTCTTTTTGCTGAGGAAGGTTGGCCCTGGGCTAACATCCGTGCCTATCTTCCTCTACTTTATATGGGACACTTGCCACAGCATGGCTTGACAAGCGGTGCATCGGCCTGCGCCCAGGATCTGAACCTGCCAACCCCAGGCGGCAGAAGCAGAGCAAGTGTACTTAATCGCTGCGCCACAGGGCTGGCCCCCTTATTTGCTTTTTGACAAAGGAACCAAAGCTATTCAACTGGAAGAAAATGGGAACTGTATGATATGGATTCCATAGCACATGGAGACCGTTTAGAATCACTGTTTGGGTCAATTTCAAAGGCATTCCTGCCAGGGTGGTTTACTAGAAACCACTAGAACCACTAGAAGCCATTAGAAGCATTAGGAACAGTCTTACTACAGCCATGAGATGCGGATGCTTCTGCTGGATCTCCTGAGGTCATGGGTACAAAGTCAGGGCAGCAATCATTCTCCTGGGGAAATGGGTATTTCCTCCCCATCAGACCAGTATAACACAGAGATGGTTGCAAAGGGACGTTGCTGGGAATATAAAGATTTATTGGCTGTAGATTGGGGGAGAGGGGTGAATTATAGGAAGCTGTTATTGCTCAGTGTCAACACTTTTGTTTCTTTGAGATCTGTAGTTGTGCTCATAAGTGATTTTCCTGGTGGTTTTGACCCAGTAGAAGTTTAAAGGACAAAAGGTCTATGTTGTGGAAGGTGTATTCCTTCCTCGACTGCTATTTAACTCGACAGGCCCTGGGATTTAATGGAGCTATTCGCAATGCAGGAGGCTGTGGCCCTGCCCTCAGGGTGGGATGTGACAGGTATATGGATTTGTGTTTTCCAGGCTCAACTGCCATCAGGGGTCCAAAAGCAGTGAGCGGCCGGGAGCGGGGCTCGTTGACTGTGCAGTGTCACTATGTCCACGGGTGGGAGACCTACAAGAAGTGGTGGTGTCGAGGAGCTGATTGGAATCTCTGCACGACCCTTGTTAAAACCACTGGATCAGAGCAGAAGGTGAAGCAGGGCCGTGTGTCCATCATGGACAATCAGAGAGACCGCGTGTTCATCGTGACCATGGATGAGCTCAGACAAGATGATGCGGACACTTACTGGTGTGGGATTGAGAGAACCGGAGTGGACCTGGGGGACAAAGTTAAAGTGACCATTGACCCAGGTAAGGGTGTGTATGTGTGGATGTGTCTCTTCAGGGCCTGCTCTGTCCTGGTCCCTGAGGTCCCTCTCCAGTGACTTAACCGTCACTCAGAGTGAGCTGTCACAGAGAGTGGTTGAGTCCTGGGAGGGGCTGGGCTTCTCTTAGATGCTCTCGTGGCTTCCAGGGCCTCCTCCAGGAAGAGATCAAGCCTTTCTGGGCACAGTTTTTTTCTCTGCACAGCTCAATGCCTGAGTGTATTGCCCGTAGAGATCAAGGTGATGGTCTCGGTTTCAGTCCATGGGCCAAAGGGACCCCATTCCATGGGACCCAGAGACCCCAATTCCTGCCAGTGCTTTCCTGGGACCTCTGGTGCCCAGGTGTCCCTGCTCTTTGTGGAGTTTGGGCCTGGGACTTCATAGCTTCTGTTCCCACTCCTGCTCCATATCCAATCTCAGGGGGAAAGAGGCCCAGCACAGTCGGGGCTCTGTGGTTAATTCCTGAGGTCTGGAAAGGCCTCCACAGTCAAAGGGCTGTTCCTGGTGCCTGACATCCCATCATGAGCCTTTCACACATCTGGACTTAGTGATGTTCTCTTCCTAAGTCCTTCTAGAATGCAAACACTCGTGGGAGGAGCAGCTCAGAGGTCCCAGGGCCTCAGTTTGCACGAGTTTATCTGTTGGGCGCTGCTTCTGCTGACCCTTGGACAGGCAGCACCAGCTCACAGCGCACTTGTGGCAAGGAGGGGGCACACGTCAACAGAGCCCCCACCACCCCTGGAACCTGTGAGGCCTGTTGCACTGGCAAGGCGCAGCTCGGCCATTGTCTCATGGAATCCTGACAACATTCTTGAGAAGTAACTGTCCCCATCGTGGAAGTTTAATAAGTTGTCCCAAGTAAAGGCTCTTCCTGAACCTCATGATTTTGTTCAGGGCTGGTCCTGACCTTAGAGGTCACAGATCTTGGGTGTGTTAGCCGCCAGGTAAGCCCCATTCTGGTCCTGTCCTTGCTGGATAAATAAGACAGGGGAGGGGGACGGCCCCGTGGCTTGGTGGTTGAGTGTACGCACTCCGCTACTGGCGGCCCGGGTTTGGATCCCGGCCACGCACCAGTGTACCGCTTCTCCGGCCATGCTGAGGCCGTGTCCCACATACAGCAACTAGAAGGATGTACAACTATGACGTACAACTATCTACTGGGGCTTTGGGGAGAAAAAGGGAAAAAAAGGAGGAGGATTGGCGATGGATGTTAGCTCAGGGCTGATCTTCCTCACACACACACAAAAAGACAGGGGATGCATTGGCCGAGGCCCTGTCATAAGCAGCAGGAGTGTTTCAAGTCCAGCTGAACTCCAGCTCCCTTGTCCTGAGCAATCCTGGGCCCCCTCTAGCCCTCCTAGGGCCTGCTTGACATCCTCCCTGGACCTGTGCCCAGCCCCACCTGCCTCTGAGGCTCTGCATCTCCTAGAGGCCAGGGAGATGTGAGCGGTCCAGGCTCTAGGCCCCTCCTCACAGCCCTGCTCCAGGCTCCTCAGGCCAGGGCAGCCCTCAGCCCCTAGGCTCAGAGCCACGTGTGGGGCTGCAGGTGGGTTAGCAGGGAGAGTAGTGTGTAATCTGGTCTGTGTGCCAAGCACCAACTACAGTGTCAACCACCACCTCCACCACCACCACCACGTCCACAGCACCAGTCACCCCAGAAGAGACCCAAGTCTCCCCGACTCTGACCAGCTACCACTCTGACAGCAGGTAAGCCAGCTCCGATGCTGCTGTTCCCTGTACCCACTTGGCCCAAAATTCTCTAATGGGGGAACACTTTGTGGTCCCAGGTCCCAGCCAGAGCTTGTCTCTGGAGCCTCAGGTTCCTCTGAGAGGTTGAGGATGCTGGGGGCTCTTCTCATTTGCTCTCATAGCTGAGTGGGCCAGAAATCTGAAATCAAGGTGTCCGCCAGGTTGGCTCCTTCTTGAGGGCTCAAAGGTGGAATCTGTCCCATGCTTCTCTCCTAGCTTCTGGTGGTTGCCAGCAACCCAAGTGCTCCTTGGCTTGTGGCAGCATCACTCCAATCTCTGCCTCTGTCGTCACATAGTCTTCTCCCTGCGTGTCTGTGTGCCCAAATTTCCCTTTTATAAGGACACCAGTCATTGGATTAGAGCCACTCTAATCCAGTATGACCTCATTTTAACCTGATTACATCTGCAAAGATGTTATTTCCAAATAGGTCACCTTCACAGGTTCTGAGTGAACAGGAATTATGGGGGTGGGGGACACTATTCAACCTAGCACAGGGGGCAAGTGTAGGACCAGAGAGACCTTTTCAGAGCCTGATGCTATAGAATTTCTGTTAGGCTTCCAGCCCCATTGAAACTACCTTGTGGAACTCGCTTCTCCTTTTTTGTTTTTTTAACCATCGTTGAGAGCACCTAGGAGTGGGGGTTTCCAGGCTGGAAACCACAGGCCTGCAGGTCAAAAGGTCCAAAGGTGTGTGGCCCTCCCTGCTACCAGGTGGGTGGGATAAGGCCCAAAGGCAGGAGGTAAGCCAGGGTGCATGGGGTGTCCTCTGTTGTTTCCAGTGGTGCCTCCATAGAGCCCAGCGTCCTCATTCCCCTCATCTTTGCCGTGTTGCTGCTTCTCTTGGTGGCAGCAGCGCTCTTGGCTTGGAGAGTGGTGAAGCGACAGAAGAAAGGTGAGAGGACCAGCGGGGGCTGGGCTGGGGGTGGGCTGGGTGGAGGTGTGCGGGGCCAATGGCCAGCATTGTCACCTGGGAGCCATCTGGCCAAGGGACTATGCACACGGTCTGGAGGGCACTGTCCCAAAGGCCACCGGCAGTTGCCAGTCTGAGGTACTGGAGGGAGGCCTGGAGCTGGTAGGTGAGCTCAGGAGGCTTTGGCATTCGCTGTCTGCCTTGTATCTCCCTCCCTGCTCTTCTCTTCTCTCTGACCCGCCTCCCTCTCTGTTTCCTGGTTTGGCTCTTGGTGGCAGAGGTGGCAATGGCCTTAGGCAGGCAGCCCATCTAGGGTGCCTAGATACTTTAGTGGAATTCATGTGGGAGACACACACACACACACACACAGAGGAGTGAACACGTGCACATGTGTGCACATGCAACATAGCCGCCTTGCACACACATATGCACACATGAGGACCTGTACATACATCACACACACGCGCATGTACACACACATGCGCAGAGTCCTCTGGGTTTGAGCCGAAAGGTGGGTTGTGACTCCTACTTTTGTCCTCCTCTGACCCGGCCCTTTCTCGGGCCCACGTGCTGGCTCTGTGGACATCTGCTCTTTAGGAAAGATCCTCTTTGCTCATGAGCCCGCACTCATCAACCACGAGGTCTGGCCTCAACCAAACCCTTTCCTGTCTGGTTCTACTTCCACATTCTCATGAACCCACTGGGAACCTCCCCTTCTCAGAACCCACTGGGACCTAAGCTCTCATGGGGCCTCTCCAACATTCCCCCTTCCCGCAGCCTGACGAATCTTGTAGTCCAGGAGGAGTGGAGCCTGAGTCCTGTTTATCATGTTTTCTCCCAAATGTATCATCTGTGACCTAAGTGCTAAGTACTCTCTGTGCTCCTCAGTATCCAGACTTTTGAAACTAAAAACCAGGGGGAAAAGCCTCTTGTTTCTTTGTTGTCTCTAAAGCAGGGGGCATGAGGGGTTGGGGTGGGGCTATGGGGCAGAAAGAAACAGGCAGCAGTGAGCACCTGGAAGCTGATCCATGCTGTGCTGACCCAGCGCACGCTCTCCACTCGAAGGGCAGCTTGGAGCAATCCTGTCTCCGCAGACATCTCTCACTGATGGGGCACTTGTGTGCCAGGCACAGCTGGCACTGGGAATGCCAGGAAGGGTTGGGCCCAGCCACCCAGCAGCCCACAGCCTGCCTGAAGACTAACCAGAATTCAGTGGGACAAAGGTGATGAGACAGCATAAATCAAGTGCCTTGGGAGCCGAGGAGGGAGGGATTAGACTGCTGGGTAGCAGGGGAAGGTAGGTTGACTTTGAGTTGACCCCTGAAAGACAAATCAGGTAGAGAAATAGTGGAGTTACAGCTAGAGCTTCCAGCAGAAGTTATAGGCTGAGCCTGGATTGTGCAGCAGGAAACTTAATCCCAGGGCAGCTGATGGCTGGCAGGGCCACCTGATCAGTTCATCACACAGTTCTGTGATGTGGGGAAGGGATGGGCTGAGGTCTCCCTATTTCTCAGGTGGAGAAATGGAAGCTTGGAGAGGTGAAGTGACCAGTGTCACAGAGTGTGTCCTCTGAGGAGTCAGAATTAGATCCAGGTCTCCTCTCTCTGAGCCTGGAGCCTAAATCACCTCTTTTCTTCCGTATTTCTCTTCCCCAGAACTGGAGGCCCTGCAAATCTCGGCATGGGCTTTCTAATTCTGATTGTTTTTATCTTTTAGCTCCTGGGATATCCCCAGAGCAGGTAAGAGAGTTCCTGAGGTCAGACCAGAGATACCAGACAGCTCCTTCCCCTCCTTCCTCATTTTCCCTCTCCCAGGAGCACCGAGGTCCAAATGTATCAGACAAACCATGTGCCAAAGGGTCCACATACTCACGGCCCAGCTGCAGGGGGGATGGGGTGGGGTGCGCTGGAAAAAGCCAGAAAGGAGGAGGGCTGGGAGGGGGCAGGAGTGGGAGACTGAGAGGAAGCTGGGAGAGGGGTGCCCAGGGAAGCAGAGAGGTTCCTGTCGCTCCTCGGAACAGGAACCTGTGCTTCCTCTCCTCCGTGCTCCAGCCCCTGGAGAGCGACCTCTGCTATGCAAACCTGACCCTGCAGCAGACTGGAACCTCTCCCCGCCCCTCCCGGAAGAAGGCCTCCAGAAAGCCCCATTCCTCTGCCCAGGCGGACCAGGTGGAAGTGGAATACGTCACCATGGTGTGTACTTGGTGGTGCTGCTGGGGGGCTTGGAGCCAGATCTGCCATTGCACCCCCTTTGAGAATGGGATTTATCCTGCCCATGTGGGCACAGAGGAGGACAGTGGGCGCTGGGAAAAGCTGCAGCCACTTAAAGACTTGCCTGCGGGGCTCCTGCAGGCTTTTGGCCTCTGGGAGTGTCTCCATACCAGGTCTCAGCACTGGGGACTCAGAGACCGATCAAACATGGTGTTTGTGCTGGGCCCTGGAGACCCAGATAGGCCCAGTGACCTGGGCTTCCATGGGAAACGTGCTGCCCTGGCCCGGAGCTGGGGGAGAGTGTCTTCTGCTGTGGCTGGAGCTCAGGGTGCCTGGCAGAGTGGAGGGAGGGGGAGCTAGAGGGCCTGGGACTGGACTTCAGAAGCCTTGAAGTGTCTGTCCCCCCAGCCTCATCCAAGGCCTCCTCTGTTGGTGGGCACAGCCTCTTGCCAGCCTCTCTGACCTGAGGGCACTTGATTACAGGCTCCCTTTCCAATGGAGGACATTTCCTATGCGGCTCTATCCTTGGACACCTGGGGACAGGAACCAACCTACAGCAACATGAGCCACCTCATCACCCACACCCCCAGCAGGAGCCATGAGGAGCCCACGGAATACAGTGCCATCAGGAAGCCTTAGCCTGTGCTCCAGGACCCCCACTCCAACTCCACGTGGCCTGTGGGCACGTTCCTACCTCGTCTGCTTTCTGCCCACAGTCCCCTCACGGGTCCAACCGATGACTGAGGCCTCTGGCTGATCCAGCCAGCATTACCTCTTGCTCTGACCTGGGCTCAGGGGGCTTCTGGGAGATAGACAGGGATCTCTCCTCATCACTTCCTCTCCCACAGAGCTTGGGAGGGACTAGTGCTATGCTCCAGGGCTGCCGAGGGAGTAATAATGATGATGATGATAATAATAGTAATTGACCTTTATTTATCACTTACCATGTATGATGGACCATGGCCCCCCAAAATATCTGCATCCTAATCCCCAGGACCTGTGAACCTTATCTGATATGGCAAAACAGGCCGTGCAGATGTAATGAAGGTGAGGATTGGAGAAGGGGAGATTATTCTGGATTATCCAGATGGGCCCTAAATATAATCACAAAAGTCCTTACAAGAGCCACATAAGAAGTTCCCAAGAGAAGGAGGCAATGGGATGATGGAAGCTAGGTTGGAGTGGCCAGAGCTGAGGAACACCGCCACCTCTAGAAGTTGGAAAAGGCAAGGAACGGATCCCCTCCTGGAGCCTCCAGAAGGAATCAGCCTGCCGACCCCTTGACTTTAGCCCAGTGAAACTGATTTTGTACTTCTGGCCTCCAGAATTGTAGGAGAATAAATTTGTATTGTTTTAATTAAGCCACTAAATTTGTGGTCATTTGTCACAGCAGCAACAGGAAACACGTATGCTGTGTGGCAGGTGCTCTTCCCTAAATGCTTCACTTACAGTAACTCATTTAATCCTCACGACAACCCTGTGAGGGCACCTTTGTTATTGCCCCGGTTTACAGATGAGGAATCGAGGTGCAGAGAGGTTGAGTGACTTGCCAAGTTTTATTACTAGCAAGTGGGTGAGTTGGAATTTGAACTTGGGCATTTTGGCTCCAGAGTCTGGAGTCTGGGCCATCACCCTGCACTACGTGTGTAAGGAGGATAGTGTGTGTGTCTGTGTGCGCGCGCACGTGTCCGTATGTGTACACACACAGCTACTCACACAGGGATAGTTAGCGAGTATTTACACACGCCGGACTCGCTGCCTTTATTCTAAAATCCTGGCAGCCTTCCCTCCAGAATGTGTTCTGAATCCCGTCCCGGCTCATCCAGGCAACCATCGGTCCCCTGCCTGGAGTCTTTCTTTCGTTCTCTGCCCCTGAGTCTGTTCTCCTCCCAGCAGCCAGAGTGACCTTCTAAAGCACAGACCTGACCACTCCCTGCGTATCACCTTCTGGTGGCTTCTTCCGCAGCCCACAAAGCCCCGGGAACCGTGTGTCCCTGCCTGCCCTTTGACCCATCTCCCCCACTCTCTCACTTGCTCTGCTCCGTCCAAGCCAGCCTTTCTTACGTCCTTCTAACAAGAGAAGACTTGCTCCCTTCTCAGAGCATTGGCACTTGCTGTTCCTTGTTTCCAGAAAGCTGTTCCCGCAGATAGGTGAATAGTTAGCTTCTTTTCATCATCACATCTCAGCTCAACTGTCCCCTCTCAGAGTGGCCTTCCCTGACCCCGCTAGTAGCAGTAGCCTCTGCTACGCTTCTGATTCCTCTCTGTCACGTTGCCCTGTTTTACTTCCTTTGTAGTATCTACTACTTTCTGAAGTTACTGACTTACTGGCTGTGAGTTTATTGTTTCCCCCCTCCACCAGGCTGCCTGAGGTGTGGGCGTTGTCTCCTTCACTGCTGTACCACCTGTGCCTAGTTTAATGTCTGGTACTGGTAGGTTCTTGAACGTTTATGTGTTGACTGAATGAATAAGTAACGTGATGGTTCAGACTTGGAAACCCAGAGCAAGCTTTCAGGAGCAGGGACGCCTGTGTCCATCATTCTAGGAAGGGAGTCCTGGGCCACTTGGGCAACCTAAGGAATTTCAAGATCGACTTTTCAGAAGCATGAAGTGGAGAGACTTCTTTCTCCCCTCCTGAAACCAGGGGAGAGGTGAGGAGCCATGGTTCTTCCCAAATGGAGGACAAAGGTCTATTACTTCACTTGGGTCTCTTTTGGTGGGGGTTGGGATGAAGTGCCAGGGAAAGGAGTCACAGCTTGGGACAAAGTGACAAGCTATGCCTGGGGCCACAGGCAAGTGCCCCAGCAGGTATGGGGCCGTAGAATTGTTTAGTGGGCCATTATCAGTGTGTTCTGGGGCAGCCCGACTTCTCACAGCTGTGGACACCCCAAGTGGTCTGGAGGAGGTGGCCTTGGTGGATGGCCATCCCAGCGTGTGCTGCTCGTCGCTCCTGCTCCCACTCCCTGAAAGATGATCCCCTAGAATCTTAAGGGCTTCACCATCCTGGAGAAATTTGCAGATCCCAAGCATGTTTGCACATTCTTGGGCTGGTCACTTAAACTTGTTGCGTCAGAGTGATACTATTTTTGACTCAGGCTGTTTCAAGATTTACAGAGCAAGGAGGGCCTACAGAGAGATCTTGGAATGGAAAAGCTCAAAGCAGAGCAAAATTAGAGTGAGTTGAAGTATAAGAATAAAAGTCATAACAGAAAGTCTTGAGCCGGTGCGTCACTGTGCCATTGTAACTATTGTGCATAAAGTGGCTTTGTTGCTGAGTTTTTAAGCAGCCAGCACCAAATAGAATCTATACACACATGCTTATGTTGGATAGTAAGGAATTCATCATTTCTGGTAATTTATCACAGATGCTAGTGAAGAATACTGCCATGAAACTTTCAATGTAAATCTAGAAACACAGGGAAGACTAGAATTTAGCTCAGTTTGGTTTGGCTGGAGGAGTCTGGTTGCTTTATCTAGACGGTGGTTATGGGCTGGAGATGGAAGGTTCCAGCAGCCTGGCTGAGAGGAGAAAGGGTAAATCAGCTTAGAAAGACAGATCCGCTCTGATCACTTGTAATTGCCTTATTCAAGCTTTAAAAAGTGTCTACCAGATATATCACCAGATATCATTTTTATCCAAAATTCCAGCCATCTGGATTGGTGGCTGTCTGAAAAGGGATCTTTTCATGTCCTCAGAGATAAAGTTGTCTAGCCCATGACATTTGTGAAACTTGTCTAGTCCATTCCATAGCTGGACAGAGCAGATTTCTAACTGGTTTTCCTCATGGGAAGCGTTCAGGTTCTTTAGGGCTTGGGTCATGGCTGCAGGAATCTGCTTTGAATCCAGCCCAATTTGTTCAAGCCTGAACTAAAGTTTAGAGCGTGCTGGAGAAGTAGTCAGGGGTTGGGGAAGGGAGGCAAACATATGCAAGAGGTTTGAAAGGAAATTGTTTCATAGTCTTTATAGACTGGCATGTCGGTGTTGTCTCAGCCGTGTCCGGCTGCTGCATAAAGACGCTGCTAAGGTGGATTTTGGTGCTGGACTAGCACCTTTACTGCAAGGGGGAGAAAGTTCAGATAGGGTTCCTCTGGTCTGAGTGAGGGTGGCATTTACTATTTTGCTGTATGGTTTCCAGGAAAGCACATTCTGTGAAGACAGACGCCAAGATATTTGACCATCCAGCTCTAATTGAGTTTATTTATAGCCTGTCTAAAGTGGCTGGGGTTTCCCTACTTTGGTTTTTGAATTATTAATATTTAACTATTCCACTTGACAAAAATTGTAGGGTTTGGGCAGTCTCCCTTTGAGAACTAGAGGCATATTACTGGCTTTCAGAAGACAGAGCCTTTTTGAGAGTCAGTTGAGGGAGAAAAATATACTGGGCTAGTAATCTTCAAAATACACGATTAAGATAAATGTTGGGGCCGGCCCTGTGGCTTGGTGGTTAAGTGCGCGTGCTGCGATGCTGGCAGCCCGGGTTCGGATCCCGGGTGCACATCGAGGCACCACTTCTCCGTTCATCCTGAGGCCGAGTCCCACATACAGCAACTAGAAGGATGTGCAGCTACGACACACAACTATCCGCTGGGGCTTTGGGGGGAAAAAATAAAAAAAAAAAAATCTTTAAAAAAAAAAAAAAAAAAAAAGATAAATGTTGGATTGAAGTGAGGCTGAAAGGCTACCTTAGCTTGATACCTTGAAGATGGAGTTCATAGCCGCTTAGCCTTGGAAGGGCCAGACTACTAAAATCAGTTGATTTCATGTATCCATAATTTTTTAGATTGGGAAGGACTTACATAGTGGTCAGCTTTTTATTTTACCAAGTAGGTGCGTTCTTATCCAATGTAATTGGAATTGATAATCAGTCAGTTCATTGAAAAAGTTGGTTAACTCAGGAAACCATATAAGAGATATATTCTTTCTCTAAATGCTTTGTTTTGACTCAAAATATCTAAATGTGGAGTAATTTGCTAGTATTTTGATATAGACTTAAACCTTTTCTTTGCTTATGTCTGCTGGAAGAAGGGGCTCATTGCCTTTTCTGCACAAACCACGCCCACGTTGTACTGTGCTGGAGCTCCAGTTCCAGTTTCTCTAACATGGAGCAAGACATTCTAGACGCTTATGAAGCAATCTGATTGCAAAACTTTTTTTCATTTTTATGTTTTTACTCTGAATATTTTACAGTTCTCTCACTCATTCCTAATTTGAAAGCATTTTTTAAAAATGACATGCTTTTATTGAGTCTTTCCAAAGCATTCCACTTAGTTTTTGTAGAAATAACAGCTCTCTTTTTGTTTACACTCTTGTTTCACTGGTCAATATCTTTTCTGTTTACATTCTTGATTGATTAGTTTCTGGATGAATTAATTAAATTACATAATCATGATTAAAATGTATGACCGGCCAAAACAAGTTTGGGCCCCGACACAGCTGACTTGTTTAAACATGCACCTCAACAGGTGAGAGCAGAAGTGAGCGAGCCTTCAGGGGAAGATTCTACCAGTTGCCACAGCAGTCAAGTCAGTGTGTTTCACCAAGAGACTGAAGGGTGTTGATTGATCTAGTAAGTTGGTTAAGAAAGGGATCAATTGAGAAAGTTTCTGCTAAACTATGTGTTATGACCATAATTTCATAAAAGAAAGGATTTGAGCACCCCAAGTCAGAATAGTGGGCAGTGCTTCCCAAGAAAGGCCAGTTGTAACTTTATGCCAACACGGATTTGTGTTGTGTGTGCGTCATCTCCTACAAATTGATTGATACTTTGCTAGTACTCACATATGGACTAAGGATTGGCAGCCATTGATCTTGTTCACACTATTCTCTAGACATGGATTCTCTCCACTACGTCCCAGCTGGTATGGTCTAGCAT